AAAAAAAAAAAAAGACCAGACTTACTGATCTGACAGAGACTGGAGAAACCCCAAGAGTATGGCCCCGGGACACCCTTATAGTTCAGTAACAAAGTCACTCCTGAGGTTCACTCTTAAGCCAAAGATTTGACAGGCCCATAAAACAGAATGAGACTAAATGCGCACAACAGCCCAGGGACAAGGACTAGAAAGCAGGAGGGGACAGGAAAGCTGGTAATGGGGAACCCAAGATCGAGAAGGGGAGAGTGTTGACACGTTGTGGAGTTGGCAACCAATGTCACAAAACAATATGTGTATTCATTGTTTAATGAGAAACTAGTTTGCTCTGTAAACCTTCACCTAAAGTACAATAATTAAAACACGTACACACAAGACCAAGAGGCAAAAAGGCTTGAGACCTTAAAAAAATGCCCCTAAAATATGAACCAAAAGCTGGCTGCTTGGCTGCAGAGAGGGCGGCCTTGGAGAGAAGGCACAGCTAGTGGGACAAGTGTTTTGGGAAATCTGGCTGCTAAAGGCAAGAAGAGGGTCCTACAGGACGGGTTGGGACAAATGGGAGGATGATCGATATGGCGGCGCGTGAAGCCAAGTTAAATGTTGACAGAAAAGTGTGTGTGTGTGTTTTCGCATTAACTGTCCCCAGGAGGCCAGGTGACCGCGCCTCCCCGCCCACCTCCCCGAGGAATGTGGTGCGGGAACCTAGTGGTGGGGGTTGTGGGGAGAGAGATACAAATGACCCTGGGCCTGTGTGCGAAGGAAAGGCCGGGCCTATTCCGCAGACTGGGAGTTTAGAGTTGGGGGAGTTTGAAGGGGGATGGTACTAACGACCGGGGGAGACGAAGGGCCTCGGGTCACCAGGCTACAGGAAGGGGTCCAAAGCATCCCGGGGCGTGGAAGCCTCCTCGTGGGGAGACCCCGGGCGAGTCATGGGATCTGTTGGCGGGGTGCCCAGAGCAGGAGATGGGTCTGTCAGCGGGATCCTGAGGCGAGAGGTGTCGCCGATAGTCAGGAGGGCCCCAGGCCCGGAGTATGGCGGGAGGGGTGCACTTTGGAGCGGCTGGCGCGGGAATGGCTCGCACCCCTGTGTAGGCCCGGCAGCCACAGCCGCCCCCGTCCCCGTCGGGCCCACACTCACCTCAGAGCCGCAGAGGAGCGGCCACCGGACCAGACCCCGCCTGCCCCGCCAATCGGAATCGAGCCGGAAGTGACGCGCCAGCCAAGCCCTACTCCTCTCCGGACTACAAGCGCCTCTCGGGCCGCTCTGGGGCGCGGAAGGACTCCGCGTCTCGGTGGTATGCGGCTCTGGTACACAGTAGGTTCTCCGAGAACAGTAGATAGCAATGCTGTGAGTTGGGAACGCTGGTACCAGGCGGCAGTCTGGAGCCATGACCCCGAGTTCCCAGAGCAGGGACTATGGCCAAAGGCTTTGATGACCAACTTCAAAGGTTAACAGGTTATAGTAATTCTCTTTTTCGGGGGAAATCTCTCCCGTGTGAGCGGCTAACGTTACCCCAACCAAGAAAAGATCAGGCCCCGGGTAACCCTACCCTTCCCTCAAGACATTGTGCTCACCCAGGATGTTAAGTAAATGCTTACTGGTCAAAGAAGCCTATTTTAGGATTTAACCCATTGCTCCCACCCCTGTAAATGGGCCCAGAATGCACGCCAACTACAGAAGTCTCAGAGGCCGCTGTCCACCCTTAAGGATGTTCCAGGGGCAGCCATCCTTTCTTCTTTCCAACCCCCCTGAATCCACGGGGACCTTGCTTGCTGATGCCTGGGAGGTCCCACACAGCGCCAACCCTGTCCAGCCGCAGGGCCGCTCTGAGGGGCGGTGCCCAGGTCTGCAGAGAGGATCACCACAGGCCACGCTCCGCAGGCCCTCCAAGCCCTTGGGGCTGTGCTTGGAAGAGAGCGGGTCTTGCCCTGTGAGTGGGGCAGCAGCAGGGACAGGAGTTCTGGGAGCCAGGAGAGCCGGCTGGACGGCTGGAACCTCAAAGGGCCACTGTGAGGAATGCTGGCATCATCACCACGTCCTATCCACGAATATTCTTGTTCTAACTCTGTCCCATTTTGGGAAATCCTGTCCATCCTTTTGGATTTGGTGAGTAGTTAGGGTTGATGCTTCTGTTTTCAGCAACCCTAAGTGGGAGATTGACTCACATGGTCCAAGAGCCAGAGAAATAAGTGCAAACATTGACCTGTTGACTGGCTGAGGAACTGAGACACACAGGACATAGTTGTGTAGAAAATAAAGAGAACAAAGATACAGAGAAAAGATACCAAAATGTTGGCAGTGGTCACCTCGGGGATTAACCCCCACCAAAAACCCATTGCCGTCATGTTGATTCCGACTCATAACGACCCTATAGGACAGAGTAGAACTGCTCTACAGGGTTTCCAAGGAGCAGCTGGTGGATGCGAACTGCCAACCTTTTGGTTAGCAGCCAATCGCTTAATTTCTGCATTATGGGGTTTTAATTTGTTCTATGCACTTCCATGTTTTCCAAAAGGTGAGAAGCCAGGTTTTGTAGGACTTGGGGCTTATAAACATGGGGGTTCTTTAAGGAAAAAAAAATATATATGCAAACAAATTGGGCCCAGAACCTGGAAGAGGCCCTTAAGCTCCTTTAGCTTCTTGATGAATTTGTTAACTATGAGTGCACATGAGTTTTATACCCAGAGGGGAAAACCTCATCACAAATGCTCCTGGGCTCTTACCCTCCATCCAAATGTGCTAGGCGAACACTTCCAAGGTTTGTGTCACCTGCTGCATCCATTCTAGCTGTGTCCTCTCTCCTGGAGCAAGCCTTTCCTGATGACCTCCCTCCCCAAAGCTTCCTTTGGCCAAGGCTGGAGCCCACTTTGGCCAGAAGGGAACAGAAAAGCAGTGGCGATTTATGGCCAAGGTGACCATTTCACCCTCCTTCCAGATGTCCCTCTGTCCTTGGGAGGAAATGCTGCACCTGCCTTCTCTACACCAAACTCTTCATGGATGTAAACGTGACCTGCCACGCTTGGGGTCAGCACTATGGATGACAATAAAGGAGATCAGATCAAGGTCCCAGCCCTGTGGGAACCACCTGGGTGGGGTGAGGTACCCAAAGGCAGAGAGAACACCAGCAGGATCAGGAAGACGAGACCAAGAAATGGGGGTCGGGGTCCCATGAGAAGTGGGCATGGGCTATGAATGGGAACCCGCCTGGCAGCACAGCGTGGCCTTGTCACCCAGGAGGGGCCTCACCTGGGAGCCACACAGCCCCTTAGAACAACCTTGAGATAACCTGTTCTCATGCATGAGGCTCAGGGAGGGGCAGCCGAGCCATGGGCACCTCACCAGTAAAGACCCCTCCATCCTGCATGAGGCTGTCCCTGGCGGGCTTTCAGCCATGAGTAGTCAGGGACAGTAGCTGGCAGCACCTGCAGCCGCACTGGCTTTGAAGGGGCTGCAAGGGGAACAGCCATAGCAGGAATTCCAGATGGCGTCCCGGAAAGGAGTATCCCTTGCTTCCCTGAGCAGCATCAGTCCTGCTTGTTGGCTTTGATCAGCTTGTTTAGCAGATGGTACAGGTGCCCTGGGCCACACTCAGCCTGGTGGTGGTGGAAGCTCGCAGGACAAGGTCTCCCCACGGCAGAGGACATGCCACACACCCTTCACCCCCATTCCCAAGGGGGTGCTCCAAGAGTGAGCCTCCACACCCCGGTGGGTGAGTGCAGGGACAGCCCCATGCTGGTGGTGTGGTGTTGGGAGTTCCCGGAATCAAGTCCTTGTGGAGATTAAGTGACAGGACAGGGCCAGAGGCTGGTGACCAGGAACCCGAGAGCCTCTCAGGACTCCTGCTGTGTACAGGTGCTGGTGCCCATGGGGTCAGGGCTACAGCCTACCATCAGGGAGCGTACAGGGTGAGCCAAGGTGCCGGCAGAGACATGATAAAGGGTAGACCTCAGGGACTAACTGGGTGGGAGAATATGGGGGCTGGCATGTGGGTGGTGGCCAGGACAGGTTTGGGCAGCAATCTATACCCTTTGGTCAGCTGTGTACACCCGTCTAAGCCTTTCTGGAACCCTCCACTAAACTCAACAGTCCTGAGGCCAATGATGGGGACCTGAAGGGCAGATGCCCCAGAGGCTGCTGGGTGACCCCAAGCTCACCACCATTATCTGGGTGTTCAGCAGAGCCCCATGCCCAGAATCACTGACCTTAACTTCATCTTTCCCTGCTGGGTCAGAGAAAAGGCAGAAGCAGATAAGCGGGCCTGACCCAGACGATAAGGTGCCCAGGGGTACAGGACTTTCAGCCCTGGTAGTGACCCCCGGTCCCCTACCACATCTGGGGTGTGGACTGCTCCATCAGAGAAGCAGCACCTTGTTCCTGATGTTCAGCAGGGAAGAACAGGCAGGATGGTGAAGCAAAACCAGGCGTGGCCTTGCTGACTGTAAAGAGACTGTCTTCCTCCCCAAAACAGCCCGCTAAGGACAAGACCAGCCATACCCCAAAAGCCCTCTCTACACACGACAGACTCCCAGCGCTCAGTCCAACAGTGGGCCCTAGACACTGCCATGTCACCAGCTGCAAGCCAGGCACCCCAAAAGGAGCCTTCCAGAGACATGTGCACCCCCCATTTGGGCAGGTCCTGGTCATATGATGGCCAACAGGACGCTTGGGAAGTGCAGGGGTTCCATCTCGCACACTGGGGCTCAAATCCAAGCTGTGTGCACTCCATTTCCTTACTTGCAAAACTCTCCTCGGACCAGGGCACCACAGCAGGACTGATCCACTGGCTGATGCTGAGCACAGACCCTTGTTCTTGTCCCTCCAACCTGGTCTCCAGGCCCCAGCAGGCCCCTCTCCTCCTGCAGTGAACTTTTGCTCCAAAACTTCTACTACTCACTGGTGCATCTACAGCATCTCCTCACTGTTCCACAGGTGACACTGCAGCCCAGCCCCAAAACAGGGCCCTTCTCTCTGAACCACAGGAACAGTACACAGCTAAGTGGCAGGAGAACAAGCTTTATTGAGTCCCCAACCCTAGTTCTCTTTCTCCTGCACAGTCTTGGTTCCCCGGAGTCGTCCGGTCCGGCGAGCAGCAATAAGACCCACTTTGCGGCCGGCAGGGGCATCCCTGCGGATGGTGGAGGGCTTGCCAATGTGCTGGTGGTTGCCACCTCCAAAAGGATGCTCCACGGGCTGCAGAAAAAGGACAACAGTGTTAGCGTGGGTGACCCCACCTGCCAGAGCTCAGCGGCAGGAAGAATCGGCCTGAGACTACAAACCAGTACACCACTGCATCCCCCTGTAAGTTATTCCCCTAGCCGGGGGAGAGACACACTTCTGAAAGTGGACTGTCCACCCAGCTTCATGGCCCCTGCACCTCGATTTCCGAGCTACTCACGTTCATGGCCACACCCCGCACACGTGGCCAACAGTTCCTCTTGGCCTTATACTTGTGGTAGGCACGGCCGGCCTTCAGGATGGGCTTGTCAATGCGGCCACCACCAGCCACCACACCTGGAAAAGAGGAGGGACCTCAGCGACGTGCATTGAAGACGAGACCCTCCCCAGGCACAGGCTCCCCCTGCTGGCTCCTTGCCAGTGCCCAGCTCCCTGCACTAGTTACCGTCTCTTCATACCTTCCCATTCTGTCCCCAGGAGCCTCCATAAGGGACAACGCTAAAGAGAAAGCCTGCCCCATTCAAGCCTCTGTCCCAGGGAGCCCCTCATAGCCTGTGAGCTGACAGCCAAGTTTCTTCAAGTTCCCCGAGGTCAAGAGAGCTTCAAGGTTTTCCAGATAAGTTTTCATTCTCAGCACTCTGCCTTTGTGAGCGGATCACTCCACCTCCCCTCACACACAGAGCAGCTGTCACAACACAGCCGTGGCTCTGCTCCTTCTGTGAACATGCCCCAGAGCCTCCTCTGTGCACAGGTAATTTAGCACAGGGATTCAAAGGCATTGCAAAGCAGCAAAGTAAACAGGCAAACCTAGGTTCAAATCCGTTTTCCCACTTACTGTACGACCTTGAACAAATTACTATCTCTGGATGTATTTGTAGAATTACATCAGTCGCGCTTACAACACAGTAAAGACATTCCCTACCTAACAAATCTCACTCAACCCTAAATCAGGTGTGAAGCTGGTACTACACCATGCCATTTAACAAGTTAAGACAACTCACAAACCACTTAAGGG